TGTGTGTGTGTGTGTGTGTGTGTGTGTGAGAGAGAGAGAGAGAGAGAGAGAGAGTTGAGTTTTTTGCATTAGATTTTGTAGCTTGTCCAATGCACCAGTTGCATCGAAGTAAAAAAAAATTAAAACTACATCTTGCAAACATATATTTACCAAAACGACATCTAAGATACAAACTGAGTGAAAATCTTTTCGTTATAGTAGATATCGTAATGGACAAACAGACAGGCAAACAGACAGACGAACGTGCTACAGTATATCAGAGGCTACAGCATGGGGATCCTATATTATTGCTAAATGCAATGACGTCATCGCCCATCGATTGTGACATATTGCATAAACCAAATAATTCAAAATGTTTCCTGCTGAAGTGCATTAGAACTCCCTCTGACTTTGATCACACAACCAAAAGGGACAATTCCGACGAAATCTGATTCGCTGTTTGATGGTACTGTCTTTATATAATATATGATATGAGGTTTAAAATTTTCTTTGGGTATTGTGCCATTTTGTAACCTTCTCCATACTGTCTTCGACGCCAAATGCGCCGGTAATGGAAACCCAATGAATTTATATTTGTAGTTGGTGTAAGGTTTGACGTCATTTTTCAGCACAAGATATGCTATACATGGCGGCCATTGTAAATGGTGGAGGAAGAACCCGAGAAAACCATGGAAAGAACCGTCGACCCACGAAAAGCCACTGGCAAGCTTTCTCACATCGGCCGAACCCAAGACTCGAACCCACGCAGACCCAGGTGAGATGGCAATGATCGGTAACGGTGAGCTCTTTAGGCCACTAGGCCACTCGGGGCCCCCTTCCGGATGCAGTAATCACTCCTATCAATTTTACTAGGATTTCAACACGTGTACAGGACCTGCGTGATCATTTCTGTCCACCTGTTTATTTCCATGCAAAAGTTCGTCACTATTGGTAAACAGTGGAAGTGGTATTATACCGTAATGGTTTGGGGTGTTTTTGTGCAGTTTTTGTTCTTGATTACAGACATTCGTCTCTGTAGGCAAATGTTGTTTCCGATTTACAATGACGTCACAGATACACTTATCAGCAAATACGTGCCGCGAAACATAAAGCCTGACAGACCTGTTTGAATGAGGAGGGGGGATACTGGTAAAAGATTTGAATGAGGAATATCTCTGGTCATATACTGCGCTAATTATTCCCATTAGACTATAGCGCCTAACTGTCGATCAAAGAATGAATTATATACGCCACGACTAGTGAACTTCAGCGCTTGCCCACCCGCTTTTATCATTTCTAATGTTCGTCACCTATAATTTTTTGGTTGATAATCTGCCGTTGTCCTGAGATCTCAGAATATATTTATTTTGAGTTAAGTTTCACCATTTAAAATAATATGAATAATTACATTTAAATGTTCCTATGGACTTTATTTATGATAATGCTATCTGTCCAAACGTTGGGATACTGATATTTTTTTTTGTTTACTTTACGGCTTTGATTATAGACCTACTTTTACAAGAAAGATGTTTCCTCAGTGTGATATGATAAGAATTTAACAAGATAAGACTGCATTTTAATCTGTTAATATCGAAGAATGAGCTAAAGCCGTATCGTATACAATGTGACATAGAAATCAGAACTCTTACGCAAGGTTACCATGACCAGCCAGAGACCGAAAACTTGAGTTGACGGAGGCGACTACTCGCATCACTTAGAAAATCCGCGGGGTGATCGATGTTTCTTCTTATGCATATCCACGTTGACAGACACCGTGTGGTAATTTGACCGTTAAGGTCCACACTGATATACAATCAAAAATTGAGATAGAGGGCGTGATTACAATTCGACACGAATGATACCTTCCAACTTGTAAGAGAAAAATTTAGTATTCGCCTTGACAGACTTATGATCAATAGTGTAACTCTGAGAACGAAGCCATTCGTAACTTGGCGGTAAAACTTAGAGATGTTGATTCTAAAGCAAGGCAGAGCAGCAAAAAGGAAACTTTTTAGGTGACAGAGAACATCGGTTCTATTGAGACCCGAGTCTTCAAGAGTTGGAGACAGAATTGAGACTGACCGGAACAATCGAAGTAGACGGAAGTCTCGTCAGTGGAGACGAAAGAGTAGGAATTTGGAGAAAGTCGAGGAGGAAGAGGAGACGTAATTTAAAGAAAGTCGGGGAGGAAGAAGAGCAGTAATTGGGAGATATAGGACAGAGAGAAGATGCTAAAGATGAGTAGAATACAAGGACAGGTGGAAATCAAATCTCATACTGATAATCATGTGATGCGATAGACTGTGTTCTTAAATAGCTATTCATTGAATTTCAACCTTTTTTGTATATTTAACCATCTAGCGATCGGCATTGCAGACTGGTGGCTCAAAGCTTTACTAATTTAACTTCCAACCAAAAAGGAGCCTGGGTGGAATTTCTATAATAGTTTAAATAAAAATATTGTGGTCATCCCACCCCAACCATAACAATCGTCACAGAAAATTTCATGAACATTATTTTGTACAATTACTGCAAAATACGACATTTTTCGTTCATACTTTACAAACATCATTCAACTAATCAAGATGGTCGCATTATAACGCATAGAGCTAAAGGAAAACGTAACAAACTTTTTATTTATTTATTTAATATTTCGACATAAAAGTTTGGATCAGGTAGTAGTAGTAGTAGTAGTAGTAGTAGTAGTAGTAGTAGTAGTAGTAGCAGCAGCAGCAGCAGAAGTGAACTAGAAGGAATATATCTTAGATGTATAATTCGATTTGTCAGTATCAAATCTTTAATTCAGTAACGATTTTCCTCGCAAGTCATAATATATCGTAACAACGAAAAATCCATTACGCGATTCTTGTTATACAGTGTATTAGGTAAACGCTAAACGCCTTCAGAAATATTTTATAATAAGGTGAGAAACAAAAAGATCTCAAAAGTAGTAGCAGCAGTAGTAGTAAAACTTTATTATTATTATTATTATTATTATTATTATTATTATTATTATTATTATTATTATTATTATTATTATTATTATTATTCCATTTTAAAAAGTCAAATGAAGATGTATGGTCTCTACCATCGATATTTTGAATGCAGCCCTGGAATTATCTCTACTCCCATTTTAAAACCTATTGTGATGACAAACGTCATATTGACCAATCCCTCATATACCAATGTTGTTTGCATTACTGGGTCAACATGTTTATAAAATATTATCTGGTACTGAGAGAGAGAGAGAGAGAGAGAGAGAGAGAGAGAGAGAGAGAGAGAGAGAGAGAGAGAGAGAGAGAGAGAGAGAGAGAGAGAGAGAGAGAGAGAGAATTTACTCTCCCACGTGTACTATAACATTTTGTAAAATAGGCATTTGCATAGAATTTTAGACATACGCAAATCTATTAGCAACGAAAAAGTATATCACATTGTTCTATCCATCCATCCGTCCATCCATCCAATGGTAGTTCCGATTCAACTTAGCTGTAAATTGTTAATGGGCGGAGGTCAACTTCGGTCCTTTATTATAAACCGAAAGTGCAAAACGAAAACATCCTGTTTAAAATCTATTGTGCATATTACGTCATCCTTATCAGCTAATAAGGGAAGTGCGTGAAGGATCGTTCGGACGAATGAAATACCGGGGAGAGATTAGAGGGAAAATTAGTAAATAATGCAAATATATGCATGTATATGGACGAAATTCCTGTCTACCTATATTGCAGAGTTAGATCTGACTTAATCCTAAAAATATCTCTATAAAATTGATTTTCATTATTATATTGCGTCTAATTTAAGACTGCTACAAAAAAGTGGATCTAATAGGTATTACTACATGTATATATTTAGACCTAGCGCGTATTACTACATTTATACAATAGGATCTAAGAGGCACAATTACACGTGTACATTAGGACCTAAGAGGCACAATTACATGTGTACATTACGCTATAAGAGGCACAATTACACGTGTACATTAGGATCTAAGAGCCATAATTACAGGTGTACATTACGCTATAAGAGGCACAATTACTCGTGTACATTAGGATCTAAGAGGCACAGTTACAAGTGTACATTAGGATATAAGAGGTTTTATTACAAGTCGTATTACATGTTTACATTGGGATATAAGATGTGTTACTAAATAATGCTACATTTAAAATGAAGGCAGTAGACGTATATTTAAGAAATGTATATGAATAAAATCATTGCTTTACTTTCCTCTTGAATCTTTTCCATCTTAAAATTATGACACATATAAAAGTATAAGCGTTGTCGATAATTACGAAAGGTCAATGTTTGGAGTTTTGAAAAATTTGATGATATAACATTACGCGGAATTTAAATTGTTGATTTTCCATAATCAGCCTATATTAATAAAAAGGGATTTACCATATCAACAGGACGCTTTGCTCCGTTCATCTTACTGTAGCCTAAATAGGAATGTTTAATGTTTACCCTACCCAAACTGACTGATAAGGTCATTCACGTGGAAGACGGGCCTTTACGTGGAAATTAGGATAACAAGAATCAACTGCGTAAATAAACTCTCCCCTGAAGTGCGGATGTGTCACAATGGTCGAGCTTATATAAAAAGGTGGAAAATAAAATGTTTTAATCCAAAGTTGTAACCACTGACTTATTGCCTACAAGCAATCATTATCTAATTGATGGTCATGATGAACAAAACATTCGTCTTCACCACTGTTCTTGTCTTTCTCGTAGCTTTACGGGTGAGACCTAGCTCAGCTCAACAGGTAATAATGCGACATAGCGTTACATACATGCACACGTTTTTCTTATCTTTTTTCTCATTATGTGTAGAATATATATATATATATATATATATATATATATATATATATATATATATATATATATATATATATATATATATATATATATATATATACATACATACATACATACATACATACATACATACATACATGTGTGTGTGTGTGTGTACAATCAGAAAGAAAGCGGTCACGCTCTTATAGTTCTTTATTAGGATTATTGACCGCTCTGGTGGCCTAGTGGTTAGAGCATTCACCTCAGATGCGGGAGGTCGTGGGTTCGAATCCCGGCCGAGTCATACCAACAACATAAAAATATTTCAAACAGCTGCCTTGCTGGTCTCTCAGCATTAAGAAGTTAGTGTTAGGACTGGACCGCCAGGTGCCAGGATAATGTTTCTGGGTGTGACATCGTGCTACAATTCTGCGGCATGATGCCCCAGTGCTAGACATCACCATAAACTGCCACACTGCAGCTATTGTAGCAATATGACTGAAAAGTGTTAAAGGTACGTCAGGTACGCAGACACACACACACACACACACACACACACACACACACCAGGTTTATTATTTGGTTTGTTTGAAGAAAGAATGCGGATTGCAATGGACAGAGCTTGATACATGATTCATTTGATAAATTATATTTTATATATTATTCTCAGCCCAATAGCACATTGTTTTACAGTAAGAAATAATTCCATTTTATATTCAACAATTACCCATCAATTTAAACACAGGGGTGTTTTTCCTAATTTTAATGATGAAATTTTGTTTCAAACCAGGGTTCAGAGCAAACAACCAAAGCTTCAACTACCACAGAGGACAGCTGCCCGTGTAATGTGAAGATCTACAACTCCTGTATATGTCATATTATCAAGTCCAACCCTGCCTGTGAGTATAGGACACAATAAATCTTGTCAAACAATATAATTATATTTATAAAGTAGTCACTCTGTGTGTGTTTCTGTGTGTGTGTGTGAACTGGTGCAGTCTTTTTGAAATGGACTATGTATGGTACACTAGATACGGCAAACATTTATATCTTCACTTTTGTTGGATTGCAATCTTACGCTGCGTCAAGTTATACTAAAGATAGTACACCCCAGTCAATCAAGCTTACTTAGCCCCTTTTTTCTGTTTTGTAAGTAGGAGCAATACCACTGCTTCTCTGTTACCTGACGTGAGTGTTCCATTAAAAATATAGGGAGACACAACTACCAAGGTCTTGTAATCACTAAAAGTATAGAAGATACATTGACTGAAGAGAAAAATACAGTAATTGTGTGTTTAATAATCCCACATAGCGACTGTACCTAAGATAAAATAATTGTGAGTTTAATAATTCCATACGCTAACTGTACAGAAGATACAGTAATTCTTAACTGTACTAATTCCACATGATGATTGTACAGAATATACAGTAATTGTGAGTTTTAATAATTCCATATATTTACAGTACAGAAGATACAATAATTGTGAGTTTTAATAATTATATATATTCATTGTACAGATTATATAGTAATTCTTAGATGTAATAAATCCACATAGTGGCTGTACAAAAGATTAATAATTCTTAGATTTAATAAATCCAAATAGTAATAATAAATCAACATACCTCCACATGTTGACTACATTTAGCTTAAGTTTAAAAAAGTAAACATTATTTTTCTTTTGCTCACTTTGGTGAGTTACAAGACATATCGCTGATTTTCTGACGACGGCTGCGGCTGCTACGGCGTCAACAATTTGCAAGGATTTGGTTACATTAATTGCATTTATTTCCTAAGCCCCATGATGGATTCTTGTCTTACATGACATGAATGAAGTGAAAATAAATAAAGACAATTCACACTACAGCATGCTCGCTAGCACTAGTTTTATCATGGAGTCAACGTCTTTGTCATATAACTTTCCGTGGAAAGGTTTTAGTTACGTATGTTTAATATGCATATATTTCTTAAACTCCTGATGGATTTTTTTAATACTTGAGATGAATCATTTGTTTCTGCCAAGCGCGTCTTCGCCCCTTGGATCTTGTTTTCATCTTCACAGTAACAGAAAGTTGGCGTTCATTTTGTTGTTGTTATTATTATTATTATTATTATTATTATTATTATTATTATTATTATTATTATTAGTAGTAGTAGTAGTAGTAGTAGTAGTAGTAGTAGTAGTAGTAATAGTAGTAGTAGTAGTGGTAGTAGTGGTAGTAGTAGTAGTAGTATTTAAATTTTTATGATGATGATGGTTAGTAGTAGTAGTAGTAGTAGTAGTAGTAGTAGTAGTAGTAGTAGTAGTAGTAGTAGTAGTAGTAGTAGTAGTAGTAGTGGGCTGGTAGTGGTGGTGATATTCTGCTCATATATATTCCCCAAATTCTTGATAGAGCTTCTCAATCCATCGGATGAAATCATTATGAAGTTAAAATAATTCTTTTTGCGACTTGTTCGCTCGAACTATGAATTTTGGAATCAAGTCACACGTATTCTTAGAGTAAAAGCTTGACATGCAGTCTCTGAACATCTTGTGATACCAAGAATAAACCTGTACGAAGTTATAATTTGTACAGGTTTTTCCCAATAAGGTCAATAGCAGACGATATTCTGTCTATTTTACCTGGACGGTGGGCGTCCTGGTAATTTCTCCTATATGCCTACGGAACACTTTGAACAAGGAACATTGTAGCAAAATCAACATATAAATTACAAATATAGATACTAAAATAAAACCCGATTTGCGTGTTGTTTATGTATGTATTTTGTGTAACAGTATCTATAGATTCATTGAATTTATTTCAACTTCCAAAAACCTTATAAACTCAACTGTATAATTGCAATCATACACAAATATGGCTGCTGATGTCTTCATAAACTATCTTTACCATTAGTAAATGCTTAAATATGTAAATAAAGGTTGACAGAGCTGAGACAAATAATGGAAATATTAACCAGTATATACTCCAAAATAATATACAATAATAAAAATATGGATATGACACAATGCAACGCAAAGTTCATTTGATCGTTATGTAGAAGACTGAATTCTACTATTTGTTATTTTTAAATCTTCTATCTGCATTCAACATTTATTCAACTGTCAATCATCATCATATTGGATGTTTCAAAGCAGTTTGTGGAAACCAAGGCATCAAAATCTATTTCATAATAAAAAATTACTGCGATGAATACCTACGTGCATCGTGTGCATGGCATAAAATAAATATAGAGAAGTAATAATTTTCATATAGCACGAATTCCTCAGCATAGGCCGGTTTTTTTACATGATAAATTAGCATACATACAAAAACTAACTGAAGTCACTGCACTAACTTGATTTTAGTCGGGTGCCATGATACACGTTTGTTGTCTGTCTTCACAACATGAACAGCGAAATGTGTCAAGCAGTCTACATGATAGGGCTATTCTCATAAACAGTCAACTGAAATATAGGACACATCTGCCTTCATGAACAGTCCACTGAAATATAGGACACATCGGTCTTCATAAACAGTCCACTGAAATATAGGACACGTCTGTCTTCGTATACTGTCCACTGAAATAGGGGAAATACTGACCTCATATAAAATCCTCTTCAACAGGGGACACATCTGTCCTCAATTACAGTTCACTCCAATAGGGGACACATATGTCCTCATATACAGTTCACTGTAATAAGGGACACATCTATCCTAATATCCATTTCACTGTAATAATGAACACATATGTCCTCATATACAGTTCACTGTAATAAGGAACACTTCTGCCTTCATATACAGTCCCCTAAAATACCGGACACATCTGTCCATATACAGTTCACTCTGATAGGGGACACATCCATTCTCAAATACGGTCTACATTTGTCCTCAGTCAATCTCATATCTGTACGCTATACCGATGTAACTAAGAGATTACATGTCATTCTAAATTTGCAATTATCATAGATTTTCTTTAACAACTATCGCAGGGAAAGATTTGAAAAATTGGGGGAGGGGAGTGATAGAACGAAAAGAGCTCCTACATGTGACCTCTACTGGGGTAACTTTAATTTCTATTCATATTCCAGTGGCCCAACAGATGATTGAGAACTATTACCGAATGCTGAACTCTATCATCGGTAACATCGGCAAGAAGTGACGATTAAACAACGTACCATTAGGAAGCAGAACTCTGAAATTTTATCCTTCTTCCATACTTGATGAGATATGATTTCTTGTTATGTCTTAAAATTTGTACATTAATTCTGTTCTTCTTGCAATAAATGTTTTTCGTAAGAAAATTGTATGATTATGTTTTAAGCAATATATTAAATAGCATATTTGACATATTAAGGGTGAACGATATATATTTTGAAATAACCTAGTATTTCTTCATATTTGTTAGTTATCTCGGCAAAGTCGTATCTTCTTTTCTTCTTTTTCTTTTTTTTCTTCCATAAGTAAATTAGCTATTTACTTCGCAGTACAAAAACCTCATAGAATTCGTGCCCCAAAACTGATTACTTCTTTACCTGGATACTTTTTCTAAAGAATATTAAACTTTTGATTTATTAATTGTTTAGAAATTATATTTTATATTTAGCGGAGGGGATTGTGAAGCTACCATAATCTCAGCAAGGGAGCCTAGAACAATGTGATATATTTATGTATTGAACAATGGGAAAAAAATGAATGGGAGGAGTGTGGCTGAAGCCCATGATATAGAAACAAATTATATGGGCTTTTAGAATCTGAGGTTTCGGTAAAAAGTTCGACCGTAAAAAGTTATATTGAATCTAGAATGGTTAAATTACCTAGATGCAATTAAGCCATATGTCCAACAATAGTTTGCTTGATTTAAACAATAAGCAGTGTCACGTACTATCTTCCTCATGCTGACATGATGACGCTCAGGTTAAAACAAACGAAAGCCGTATTTTTAATAACTGCACGGGTATTTATAACTACCTCCCGTTAGATCGATGTCTACCATTTTTGTGTCATTCAATAAAGCAACCACGGTAACTTAGTAATACTTTTGCCAAACATACAATCTGTTGGTCACAGCAGTGGTCCTCAACCCCCGGGCCGCGGACCGGTAACGGGCCGTGCATCACATGGTACCGGGCCGCCCAAGGAATATTAAAAATTAAATTATTTCCATTTTATTTACTGTGATGTATTTATCTCTGGTTTGTGCGACTTTACATGGACCACAGGTTAACCGGGACCTGAGAGACGTCACCTAAGTCTCACCAAAATCGTGCATACGCAAAATATCCTGATATCGGGGAGGTTTTAGGTCACATCTGGAGCTGAGCGGCT